TAAAACCGTTAAATGATACGTGCGCAGGCGCGACCAGAGGTGGTGCGAGCCGCACTTCAGACGGCGGCCGCCTTACAAGTGTAGGTAAGCAGAGAAAAAATGTTGTGCCTCGGTGGGATTCGATCCCACGTCTCCTTGCTCTCCGGGCAGGTATGCTGACCACTACACCACGAAACGACTTATTTATTCTCTGCTTACCGACGTGTTATTGTGCCGCCACACAAGGTTGAAGGTCCGCACACGTGCAGCTGCCTTACAAAGACACCGCCAACACGTGGAGACCGCACCGACAAAATATAAAAAATGTCCTAAACACTTTTCGTTCTCTCATCCCTTCTCTCTCTATTACCACTCCACCCCGCCAATGCATAGTATATACTCATGAATTCATGGACAAGCACGTGGCGAATACGCACATTATAGATACATTTTACTCGGAGTAGCCACGTTTATTTTCATACAATTTCAAATCGTCAAAACAATAATAAATATAGTAACAATGGCAAAGCAGAGTATCAAAAAGCGTATAGGGAACGCGAAAAAGCTAAAAAAAATGAAAATAAGCAAGAAAGTTACGATATAAAGCAAAGATATTCTCTAAACTAGTGACAATATTTAAAAAGTTTATTGATTATTTTTTTAAATAATTAAAACAAATTCTCCCTTCAATTCCAAACATTTAAATATATATATATTTTGATAATTCTACCTATTTTACGTAATTTATTATTTCCTAAAATACTGAATTTCCTAAATATTTTCCTGTACTTAAATAAAAACTAATCAGCAAAATTTAAGAGAAAAATCAAGAAAACCTACATAAAATTGAGCACGTTTTTTTTTTGCAAATTGTGTCGATTCTACATTAGCCGAAGGAACTTCGTTCCTACCTGGTGTCCCACGACACCACATTTCTTTTTATATTATTTGAATATGCTGAAGTAAATTTAAATTTTCATCATACATTTTTTTGTTGATGCGTAAGGCAGTCTCTTCGAAGTTATTATTTACCCGAAAATATTTAGTTTATACGTTGTATGTCTAATACTTTTATTATGCATAGTAAATTTAGATTTTGATTACTTCTTAATATGTACTTCTTCATAGTTTTAGCTTCAAAATACTTACGAATAATGATGTACCTATAGTATGATTTTAATTTGTAGATTTTATTATATTATATATAACTAGTCTCGATATATTATTATCTAACTACCCGAAGCTCAAAAACTTATACAAGTAATACAACAGTTCCAACAAATATTAAAGGATCTGCTGACCACACTATAAAATATTAACCGTCAGTTTTGATCTCTCAGTCTGATTTAAATCAGGTAGCAGTTTTAACATTCGCTCACTTTTTTTAAAAACAACACGGAATTTCGATAGTAACAAGCATCTTGTCAAATTTGAGCGCATGTTTTTTGTTAAAGCGGGTTGGCTAACGACGACACTTAACCAAGTTGCCTCTACTCCAGTAAAGCGACTGAAATGAATGTGTCATTGTTGTCTGAATGCTGAAGAACTCCGAAAACGCGGCCTTTCAGTTAAGGGTTTCGTTTATTTGACACCGAACGAATACTGCTCGTAGTTTACATTCCACATATTGCAGGGGCCACGAAGTTTGTGAATTATTGTAGAGCAAAGCATAGCACATAGGCTTTAAGGTTGGTCCTCATGTCTGCAAGATCCGCAAATTTCACCAAATATTCGCAGAGTGGATCGTTCCCTGTAGACTATCCGACAAATCAGAAAGTAAAAAGTCGGCAAGATTTCAGCTTATGAGAGTCATCAAATTTTATGTTTTCTGGTCAACGGCATCAGAATTCTCATTGATAGTACCAAAAATTTCTTTTTAATACTTAAATACGCGTTATTTGGACTTGGCCAAATTATTAGTCGTATAACCACGAACCATTCCATATTTGAAAAAATTTTAAACAGCAATAAATATAAAGATTTTAAAAAATACCGATTTTTTATAAGTCTACTCGTTTCTACTACCACTACTACAAATTGTTCTACTTATTTTTAATGATGACCATACGATGTTCATAAATAAGAGTATCGTTAATATTCAGAAAATGTTAAACCTACCCCTTTGCCTTCACCACGCAGCCATCGTCTTCATTGATTACTTCCCTAAAGTAGTTCGTTGTTACAGATTCAATCTCTGCCCGAAGGCCTATTGTTTAAGGTTGTATTTATTTATAAAACTATGATTAATCTACAAACCAAGCGGGAACAAGGGGAAGACGGCAAAATTATTAAGGAATCTAGTTTGGATCGTTATTGAATAGATGACTAAAACTAACAACTAAAATAGTGAAAACATATCAATTCTTAATTACAATCTAGTAAACACAAACATTTCTTTTTTAACAAACTATTGACACATTTCGACAGCTCGCTATCTATCTATCACATTGTCACGAATTTATGAATATCTTTATTAAAATAATAAAATTAGCGTTTTCACGACATATACAACGTTGGAATAAATTACGACTTTCCAGAGGTTTGTCAGATCATTTGACATAAAGTCACAGACAGAAATGGAAGCAAACCCTCTTGTACACTTTATCCATTAGTCGAACTGTGTCACGACAGTGGCAATGTTGGTTCCAACTCTTATTTGTCAAAAATTAAATCTTTTTCAGATTAACAGAGCTTTTGAAGTTCGACAATCGTTCCTATAAGAAACCAAGCAAACGCAACTGCTACACGGTACACAGCGCTACTTCACTTGACTAAAAGTTCCTTTTTCTTTTGTTAAGAATGTATTATGCACAGTACAATTTCGTAGCGACAACTCTTTGTAGCTTTCTAAAACTTATTTTAGAATTTTTTTCAACATCATTTTTTATATCTAATACATATTTCATTTGTAAATGCCCTTAGCGGTTGGTTTTTATTTTTTCGGTTGTTATGCTTTTAAATAATTTATGAGAGTCTGCGTTTGTAATTTTCAATACAATTTGAATTTAATATAATTCAACGAAACGTTTAAATCTACAGAATATTCTCTTTCGCTATTTTGAATGCGACCTAAATAAACAAAGAAAGAATACATTTCGTTTGTTCTCGAAAAAGAAAGGGAAGTGAAATTTTGTTATTTAAATACTACTTGGCAAATAAACGATATTAATAATATTCTTATAATTTAACGAATCGGAGTTTATTAATCGATGACAATTCATAGTTAATTAATTATCTCGTTTGAAGTTATTCGTAAACAGAATACCAAAATGAGTAGATACGTTTTTTTTTAGTGACGTTTAAATATTTACTGATAACATTGATTCGGTTTTTAGTTATAGGTAGGTACATAACGAAGCAATTTTATAATTTATCTTTTTCAGGTCATGTTCATCCAAATAACGTAATAAAGTAATTACAAAGATTATAATAAAAACCCTCTCTGCTTACTATGTAAATTAAAATATTAACCTACATTTTCAGGTTGCTGAAGCTTTGTGAAATCTTATATGTTGCAAAAAAATTTTATTAAAAGGGTAACCAAGCTTAATTCAATATTCGCTGCTGACCTATCTTGAGAATATTCAAAGAAAAGTTCCCTGCATCCGGGTCACTTCACAATTTAGAAGGACATTGATTGAATCATCTTAAGGGGACCCTTATTAGATAGTAAATCAACTAACCTCTTTCTACTTTCAGCAAGTTCAGCACACACACAAATATTTTTCTTTTTATAATGTAGAATACGGTGTTAGTGAGCTGTCATTAAATCACACTCTAATCCGCAACGTTTTAAACAAAATTAATACAGGTCTTTATTAAGTCGTTTATAATGAAAACAATTTATTTAACCTGAAACTGCGACCTATAATTTTCACTCTTCCGATTAAAAAGTGTGTGTATTTGAGCAACGCCGTCTTCTATGCTCTGACATCGATCGTGAAACGACGCATAACCAACCCCAAACGTAATACTTATTATATATCCATTATCTGAACTGAGTAAATTAAATTTATATTTAGAACGCCGTTTTAAATGATTTAAGACCAATTCACACAGCACCCAAAACATTTAAAAAAAATTGGAAAAAGGCTGTGTGCAAATTCGTCAAGATCAAACGAGTACTCGGCTGAATTAGCATATGGGAAAAACTTAAACGCTTGAAGTTCACCGTCTCAAACTCACAAGACTATATATATATATATATATACATATGCAAGTGTCTATAAATGAATCTGGTATCAAGGGCGGCTTTGAAATGTTAAAATAATGTACCTCACTCAACAAGGAAGCAAAATAGATAACAAAAGAATCGCGTATATATTTTTTAATGATATTATTATATACAGCGTTTCTATAAATGAATATAGGGTCGAAGTAGGTCATGGCTGTGTGCCGCCTATCACTTTATGCGAATGTTACTAAATATCCAAGGATTCACGGCAGATACCAGACGCATCTTCATAATTCATTACAATAAAAAGAAAGAAATTTATTATGGTTAAAAGTCACAGTAAATCTTGAAAATGTTCACCATTTTGTTGAGCCTGTAACGATGATTCTTGAATTTACAAATCAGGGTATTTGGCCAGATATTTTTGCTTACAATTTTACTTGCTTACAATAATGATGTATGACTTACTAGAAGAAAATAAATACACAATTCCTCATTATTATCAGCAAATCTATTGCTTCTGTATTCTCTAGATACTTTTCCACAGAACATTTGAAATTTGTAAATCAATACAACAAAAGTTCAAAATGTTTGTTAAAATCTGCGAGGCAAATTATAAAATTGTTTGTATAACTTTTTTTTAGAACAATTTGAACCGACAAAAATACGAAATTAAAGTGATGTTTACTTTTCTCTTCAGTGTTCTATTTATTGTTAACTTCCACTTGCCGTACAGTTCTAATTGCTTAAATAAATATTGTAGTCTCGCTGTTACATATTAGTAGATTAGTGAAGACTAGGTTCATATCTTTTTTTATCGCCGCTAACAAGTGATATAACAAAATAAATTACTTATCAGTATCTACATGTGATTTGATGTGGAAACACCACAGTATTAGTACTGTTGTATTAAAATGATTTTAATATTAGTGCTAATCGTCGTCGCTACTGGTTTATACTTGTTAAATTTAAATTACAAGTATTGGGAAAAGCGCGGAGTTCCTGGGCCCAAACCTACGTTTCTTGTTGGTAACTTAACAGAAAATTTCCTCGTAAAAAAATCATTGGCAGATCTCTATGGTGACATATACAAGTAAGTTTGACGTGTTTTAAACAAATACAAACTACGATAAGAACAAAATTATTATTATCTCCCAAATAAAAATAAACCACTTATCGTGTCATTATTTATCAAATATATAAATCATATTTCTAAAATTATTGTCTGTTTTCAGAAAATTTCGAGACACTCGTTTAGTTGGCATTTTCAAAGCAAGCACCCCAGCTTTAGTAATTCGCGATCCCGGACTAATCAAAGAGATTACAGTTAAATCTTTTCAACACTTTCACGACAATGAATTATACCTAGACAAAAATATAGACCCACTGTCAGGACGTAATCCATTTTTCCTAAGAGGAGAAGAATGGAAATCCACAAGGGCACATTTAACTCCAGGTTTCACCAGTGGAAAAGTAAGTTTTATTCATTTCATAACAAAATCTAGATTTAAAATCTAGATGAAATGGATTTATCCCCTCTTGGAAGAAGTCAGCAAAAACCTCGTCAAATATATCGGAAAACATCCAGAAGCGACCACAGGAAAAGGATGCAACGCCAAGGAAGTATGCATGAGATTTACTCTGAACAATGTAGGCACCTGCGCTTTTGGACTTGACGCAAAATGCTTCGAAGAAGATAATCCAGAATTTAAGCAAATCGCTGACCGGTTTCTAAGTCCCGAAGGGTTCCAAAACGTCAAAGTATTCCTTGTCAGCATCATACCATTCATAGCAAAAATAGTTTCCATCAAGTAAGAAACGCAGTTATTTTTACTGCACCTCTAACTTAATTTCTAGATTCACTCCTAAAGATGTGGAAGAAAAACTAACAAACATAGTAAGGCAAACTTTGCAATATCGAGATGCAAACAACATTATCAGAAACGATTTTATGCACATTTTGCATCAGTTGACGAAAACAAATAAAGATTTTAGGGAAGTGGACGCCACAGCTCATGCTGCTGGATTCTTTGGAGATGGTTACGAAACCAGTTCGATCGTGATGCACTTAACGTTGTACGAGCTTGCGGCAAGCCCTGAAACTCAGTCTAAGCTCAGAGAAGAAATAAATAAAGCGTTTGAGGAAAACAATGACACTTTGCCATATGAAGAATTACAAAAACTGACGTATTTAGATGCTGCCTTTAATGGTGGGTTTTTGTTTATGCGTGTACAATATTTTTAATTTTGTTCGATTAGAGGCATTACGATTGCATCCTCCTCTCGGTTCTTTGAACAAAATGTGCACAAAAGATTATACGTATGTACCAAGAGATGACGAAGTTATAAAAAAACCTTTCGTCATTGAGAAAGGGACGCCTGTCATTTTACCCTTGTATGGGCTACATCGAGATCCTGCATATTTTGATGAACCGGACCGTTTTAAACCTGAAAGATTCCTTGATGAGAAGAAAGATAGTGTGAAATATGCTTTTTTGCCTTTTGGTGAAGGTCCTAGAGCTTGTTTAGGTTTGGTTATTGACTATGTTAATTCAACCGTGTAAATGGTGGGTTTTAGGTCAGAGATTTGGATCTTTGCAAGTGAGAATCGGTGTTGCGTATGTTATTAGGAATTTTGAAATTTTCGTCAACAAGAAGACACAGTTGCCGATTAAATACGATCCAATGTACTTTTTAACGTCACCAAGATTACCTTTGTGGCTTGATTTCAAGAAAATAAGATAATCGAGGTATACTAAAATTTTTACCACAATGTGTGGCAAAATTAACATAAAAATTGTCATTGTTTAATGTTCCTGTGGACAAAAAGTCTTCTGCAAAAATAGTAACTAGCTCTCAGTTTAAGTATTATAATTCTGTTATTGTAGATAAGATAAGCTGTATCACTACTCAAAACCGATTATGGTAAAGTATTTTTTTAAGTGTTTATCTCCCTAAACATAATTTGTTGTCCCAAAGTTTATTAATCTAACGCACTTATAAGTAACTGTATATAAATTTTACAATTACAAGCTACCTGAATAACCTCACAAATATTTTAGTAAAACATTGCATCACATAAATTGATGTATATGACGTACAATGTACTTTAAATATAAGTGTAAGTGTAAGATATAATAGTTTCATAAATATAATATAATATTTACATACTGCTTTATGTTATGTGTAAAAATATAGGGTGATTTCGACATTATGCGTCAGTTGTAACCACGGCATCACGTACCGTAGTAATGTGGAAATATAGAAAAAATAAATTCAAAACCCACATGAATCAACCACGATGCGATGCCACGGATTCACCTTTTAAACAGTAGATGGAAAAGCGTTCGAATAAAAACGATGTAAACACTTTCAGTTTCAATTAAAAGTAAAACCGACTTTTTGCTTGTTATTATTCGTTCATTCGTGTATTTATTATTCGTTAAAGGTCAGTACGAAAGATTATTCGTTGGTTAAATGATGGTCCTGAGAAGGACCGATTTTTGGTAATGCTTCATGGTGATCAACTTTTTATTCTGACGGATGTTTGGTCCTTGCCACATTGCTTATTAGAACAAAAGTAAGATCAACTTATAATGCTACTACCTTTTAACAATGAATGTTAAAAAGTTTGTCCTTGACTAGCAATACGTAAAAAAACTCCGGGAGTTCCACAACCTGTAACGGCTGCCACTTCCACTCTTCGGTAGTTTCTGGACACTGTTGATTTCCATAAACTAACTGTTTCATACAACCCCACAGACACAAATCACACAAATTGAGATCGGATGAACGCGGAGGCCAAGACTACTGGGCCACTTCTACCGACCTACTGGTTAGGAAAATGGTTATTTAACCATTCAGTTACTGGCCTAGCAAAATGTGGTGGTGCTCCATCATGCAAGTACCACATTCGAACTCGTTCACCTAAAGGCACTTCCACATCTACCCCACATCTACTCCCATACATTTATGGAAAACCGTCGTTGAATCGAACTTGTGGATTTTCATCAATTCAAATGTGATTGTTGTGGCTGTTGAAAACAGCATTGTGAGTAAATTCTGCTTCCTCCGTAAATAGAATGCAATTTAAAAAGTTAGGGTGTTGACGACATTGCTGTAACAACCATTCGCAATAAATTACACGACGTGGAAAATCAGCGAGCTCCAAAGCTTACAGTTTTTGAACGTGGTATGCATGTACATAGACCTTCTTCTTCTAATATACGATGCACTACAAATTGTGAAACTCCAACTTGAGCTGCAAGTCGGCGAGTGCTGATGTCGGGCTCACCTTCGACCCGTTCCAAAATTTGTTCTTCAGCTTGCAGTATTCTTTCGGTCTTATCACGGCTTCGATCGTGAGTTTCAGGCTTGAAAGTACCTTGATCTCGGAGATGCTGTACCACTGATGTAAATGTTCGCGCACAGGGAATCGAGCAATTCGGTAAGCCCTCGATCAACAATTCGCGAGCCAACCACGTCATAAAGCAACTGATACATATTATTCGCTGAATTTATTTATGTGTGCCTCATTTAGGGACATATCTTGCATTAGTGAATAAAGAATACCTAAGATTTTAGTTTTTTTCTCGAACAAAACAACCGGCTTTTACCAAATTATAATAGACAAATACACCTATTTTGTAGCCGAAGTGTTTCCGTCCTTTCATTATTCATGAATAACGAAATCATTATTTAGGTGAATACGTGTGTATTTAAATATTTAAGATTTTCGTAGACTAAAAATGCGATAAATGCTTTAGTCAGTAAAAATACGAAAGAAATGCTGATTCGCCATCTAAGTTAATTATATAAAGTATGGTTTATGAAATGGAAGTTCGGTTAATAATAAATCCTGTCTGGAAACGGGAATGTTTAAAATTAAATTTCAATAGCAACCATCACGACATCACGAACAGCCGATAAATCCATCCCCAACCCTTAAATTCCTATCGGATCACTTTAATACTTTAAGCAACGGTTTAACTCGGATTTTACAGCAGAACAATGAAAATTGCGGAACAACGCGTCAATTGTCGTCGTTTTAAAACATCAACCAGCTAAATACGTGGAAAGCAACCACAAATGCTGCTCAAAATGCATGCATTTGTACGAATTCAGACAACAGACGTACAATAAGCTATTTAGTTCGCCCTACTCGTGCAACTATTAGAGCACAATGGCTCGGTAAATGCAGAGGGGCGGCAGTCCCGCTCAGATTTCGACTTGGCCATGACAACACCGCCGCCGCCGCCGTCGGCCTCGTTATTTATGAGGGTGGGCGTACGCTAACGGCCGGCGCGAGCTGCCGCCACCGTCCAAATTCTAACGACAGGCGATGAGCCAGGGCCCGCCAGATTTATTGTAATTTAATATCTTGAGTGTTTTTGATTTATTTCTTTCGCTAATTTTACCCCTCGTTTATCGGGCATGATTTCAATACGTCCGACACAAAGGAGTTCTTATTTGGCTTTCATGGGGGAATTTTTTATTGACCTTTCAAAGCCATAAACTAAACGAAACGAAAACGGGGGTGAAACCGTCCGTCGCGCCGACTTCACTTCATTCATTGTGACTGTTTATTTGCCATCAATCAAAAGTTGCCGTATTCGGGAAGGATATCTTCAAGTTTACTTCTATGCTTTTTGTGAGAGTTTAAATCGATTACGGGACGACGGCGCTATTAATTTCCAACATTCGGTTGTTAATATTTCGCACGCAGCGCCAGGTGGTGCACCAGATTTATAAAATGCAGACAACTCGTATGATTTACAACGGACACTGCAGGTACTTTTGTTTGCCCCAATTAAGCGGAGAACATTATCATTAGTTTTCATAATTAAATAAGGGCGAAAATGCAAATTCTCTCTGCCTACTGTTGAAATTTGTTTATGTTAACATAATTTTCTAGTTTTACTTCCGAGGCGTAAGCTAAGGAAGTATTGTAAAAAAGGATCCATCCGTCGAACGCCTATTTTCATATTTTCTTCACCCCTAGAGAATGAAAAATATCTCCTCTTTTCCGTTTGTCTGTGAGTCGTCTGTGGTCTGTGTCGATATTTACCAGAGAAATAGTCTCCGAAAACTACTGAACTAATTGTTGTCAAATTTAATAGATATTTGATGATGTCACCTCAGTTTTTTTTTTTAATGAATTAGTTTTATTTTTTAATAAGATATGAATCATTTAGGCAACCAGTTATACAGATACGTGTGGTATTTGTAGTGACTCCTTGAGCATTTAGTAAAGTCCAGAAGTGAGAGGCGGCACGTTGACTGTTTATTAGGAATTAATTAACCCATGTACTTCTCGAATGTTATCACTTATGACTTCTTGTTCAATGTACATTTTATTACATGTAATGATGCACTTGTTGTTGAAATGTGTTGCTTTTTGCACTAATTTTCAATATAAATTCATATTTAGTGTATTCAAAACAACCTAAGGAAAGATAATTTCCTTAAGTTGGAAGAGAAATAATTTAGAACATAATTCATGATGTTTACAATACACCCTCTGCTTTAATTCAACAATAACAAACTTTCCAATAGCATTATAAAAAGCATAACTCTTAAATTAAGACCAAGCGCCAAAGTAAAATTATATCATAATTAAGACGCTGGAATTAAAATATAAGAGAGATTACACAAAAGCACCACAACAGGAATTGGGTTAAAGAACGAATGGACGAACGAAACACAAATTTCTTTAATTATGCCTACAATTAACATAACGATAATAAAAATTTACATTTTCTAAATAATAAAACAGAATTTCGGATTGGTTTTAGAACATTTTAAAAACAATGAAACTTCTTAGCGCTGGAGATACATTCCTAATTTTCTTTTTCTAAATTTTGTATTCCACCTGTTGCAGCAACCAATCTATATGTATATAAACAAAAAAATATCCCATCAAAAGGTACGCGAACAAAATCACAAAAACATCTAATGTACCGGTTTTCGGAAAAATTTAGCCATTTTAAATGAGCAACGCTTAACATGGTGTCTATCATGACACTTTCCATATCATTGCTTTCTCTTCTAAATTTTATAGGTCAAAGCAATCAATCACGTAAAAAAATGTATCGAAAAACCACTACCAGATTTTGTCACCATTACAGCAAAATAGTAAATTTAGAATATTTTATTTTTGTTGTATAAAGTGGATGTAAAATATTGTTACGAAAGAAACCCATACGGCACCTCGGAAGCGGAAGTCGTGATGGGCAATCCAGAAAGACTTCGACTGCGGAATTTCTAGAAGAGAAGTATGGCTTTAAATAGAAGCCACCTTCGGATTATTCAGGCAGTTCAGTCGACGAGCGGACAGTGAAGTTGCGCCGGAATTATTTTGTACATAATCGCTGTGTAATTACTAATCAGTCGTGTAACTTTGAGTTATTGAGAAATAAATTTGTTGAGTTTTACCCACGCCGATTTTAAATACCCGTTCAACGTAACACTGGCGTCGGAAGTGAGATTTGAGATTAATAATTGGTTTTATGACGACCTTCGGTCAGATTGGACAAGAATTCTGAAGAATTTATTATTTATTTATAAACAGTCGTAGAAGATGAAGAATGGACTACAGCACAGCTTAGATGACGTTGATATCGGGCCGTTGCTCAAATGGAAAGAAGATGGGACAAAACGGCCAGCTTGGTCGGAAATATCAGAAAAGTCACCCTCTTTCGACGCGTTATGGGCTCAGTGGGACTCCCTGCGTGTCCAGAATGGATTGCTTAAGCGAGTTTGGGAGTGTCCGGATGGCAAACATACCACCATGCAGTTGGTGGTTCCGGCTATTAAAACCAAGGAAGCACTTTGAGAAATGCACAACGGTGGTTCTGCTGCTTATTTTGGAATCTACAAGACGCTTCCTAAAGGGAGAGATTCTACTTACTTCAGCAAATAGCCCGAAGCCTATGCCATACCGAATCAAGAAGCCACAACTGTTGCAAAAATGCTGATTGACAATTGGATCAACAGGTTTGGGATCCCAATGGAATTAGATTTGGACCAAGACAGAAACTTCGAGTCAAACCTATCCCAAAGGGTTAGTGAAGTCCTAGGGATACGGAAGACACGGACCACGCCGTTGCACCCACAGTCAGATGGAATGGTAGAACGGATCAATCGCATTGTGGAAGAACATCTTTCGAAGGTGGTGGCCGAACATTAGAAAGATTGGGATCGACACTTTGTGATTGTTCGGCTCTCCGAGTGAAGAACCAAAGGAGTTCATAGATTACGTCGATGACTTGAAGGAGAAGTTGCTTCGGGTGGCGAGTAAAGAATGAAAACACGCTACGACCTTAAGGATAATTCACAAGGATTCCAGGCAGGGGATTTGGTATGGCTTTATAATCCCCGAAGAAGAAAAGATCGTTGT